GCCCCCAGCTTCCCATTTCCAGGTAATAAACCCTGAGCCTGCCTTCAGTCAGGCCTGGGTGAGATAATGTCCCAGCCCTGAGGTCATTGCAAGATGTTTGTATTTATGGGAAACAGAAGTTCTGAAACATTTGTTTGTCTTTTTATTCACTGTAATCTGTTAGCAAGCAAGAGAGCTAGTGATAAATAGCTCTGCCATTTGGTAATTTCATTTATGAATATCCATGATGGTTTTGGAGGCTGTTTACTCTTTACTTGCTCTTGCGCAACTTCTGAGGCCGGTGCTGACCAGCAGGTTGGAGTGGACCCAGTAAATGCTTCAGATCTGTTCATCTAGCCTAATGATATCGCGTGGCACATTGTATTTTATTGATAACTTCTTTGTAATACTACTTAATGTTAATTAATTAGCCAACCAGAGGATTGTCACCATTTTGTTTTATGTGCAAATACTGCACAATAGGAGAAATAATTTGAAAAATGGATTTTGCCTATTTTATGAAATATTATGCTCACAATACTGGACCTGTTAAGTTTCAAATATTGTTATGAAACCCAGTGACTCTTGCTGATTATTTCGCTAAACCACAGCAAGAAGTCTAAGGCACTGGAATAGTCTTGACTCAACGAACCAGAAAGCTTAGTGTTTAAAGATTCAATTATGAATAGGGCAGAGAAAAAATGGAAAGCTTGAGGGTCAGAGGGAGTTTTTTTTTTTTTAATTTTTACACATATCTTAATTTTCAATAGTGGGAAAAAGAAATTATTTTCTATATTGTTTTTTGCTGATGAACTGTGACAGAGATGACTTATTTAGCTGTCTAGACAGGAAACATACACACATACACATGAAAACATTTTTAAAAGCTCACTGCCACAAGGCCTAAAATAACGTTAACTTCATGTGCACATACTTATGCATGAATATACAAAGGAACGTTGTTCAAGAATGGTTTCAAGTGGGAGTCGAGAAAGTTCATTTTAGCATTATTTTTACACATAATTTTCAGCACCTCAGAATATTCATCAGGGATATCAGTGGAGAAAAACTACTTCTGTAAACAATCAAGCAAACAAGGCATGGGTCCTTGGTGGGAAAGTTTGGTTTTTAGATTCAAGGAAATGCACATGCAAATCTTGGGAATGTAATCTGTGTAGCCTAGGCAGGAAGGCGTGCAGAGGAAATTTGCATTCTGGGAAACTGGAAGCTCTTTCCGAAGAAACCACTCCATTAGCTTCCTTTTTCACTGCTCTGGCCTCCTTTCCTCCAGTCTTTCCTTGAACTGTGTTTAATTTTGAGCTCCCTGCCCTACCTTTTGTGTGATCACCTCCTCCTAGAAGTTAACAATTCATGCCTCTTAGGGAGGTGAACGTGATTCCCAAGACAGCTGGAGCGCGGAGCACATAACCAGTTTCATAGGTGGGTCACACTCTTAAAGTTATTTTCTGCATGAGACTTTTGCCCCTCATGCCCAGAAACAGGCTGTCAGAGGGCTCTGTTGTTTCCTTGCAGAGGCTCTTAGGAGGCGTGAGAACCTACAGTGAGCAGTTAAAGCTCTTCAGGCTCCAGCCACGCAAGGCTCAGAGGCAGTTAAGAAAGGTTTTTGGTAGTTGAACCAAGGCAACTTCCAGAGAGCCTGATTCCATTGCACACGTTTCTAAGCCAACATTTCCTTGAACATTATATATGATAGTGTATTTAGGCTGGGAAGCAAAGGCTTGAGTGCTCAGCGCAGATTTAAAAGAGAGCAAGAATGACTTTATGTGAGGCTGCGTTTTTCAAGTATTATCTGGGGCAAAAGTTTTTTTTTTTTTTTTTCAGATCTTAAATTACCTGTCACTGTATTGCAGAAAGCAGTTTTGGAACCTTGGCTTTGCTCTCAGAGTCTCTCCATATAATGTTAGACACCCCCCCCACACACACACACAAAAAGGTACTTTGAAAGATATATTGCAAATTATTAGGGAATTTCCTATTCATCAGGCCAGTAGAATTAGGAATTTGGGAAGGCTTTTATGTGGGGTAGGGGAAAGAGATGGAAGAGAATTGACATGAAAATTTATTTTTAAGATGCTAAAGCCAGGGCTGTTTTTACTGCATAGCCACAGGATGCTGGGTAAAATAATTTAAAAGAAGGTGGTGGAGAGACTAAACTGATGACTATTAGGTTCCAGGAGAGCCTTGTCAAGACTATTTGATCACGGGAGGTCACTGTTGATCTCATAGTCTTTCTAGATTCACCGAGGCCCAAAGAAGATGGGAGAAGCATGTTCTGAGTGTAGCTGTTTTGTGTGTCTTGTGCACAGGGAAAAAACTGTCAGTACTCTCTCTGAACCCCGACTGATGCCAAATGGCCATCTTGTGTATTGAGGAGCAGGCAGCATCTTGGGCAGTGATTCATGTGTTTACAAGCCTGACTGGCTCGTACCTGTATTCACATCTCAGCTCCATAGTTAATAGCTGTGGGCCAACCATGGTTCACTTAATCTCTTTAGGGCTTGATCTCATTGGTTTAATACATCTAACAATGAAATCCATCTCGTACAAAAAGAAAAAAAAAATCTCATAGCTGGTGAGGCTACCGAACTTAGAGGAAAACTGGCTACCACCATTTCCCTGAACCGGTATAATTTCTAAGTCCATTCTAAAAACTTATCTTCATACCTGCAGAGAAGCACAGACTCTCTAGTTAAATTAGCTCCCTTTAGCAGCAGATGGAAACTGTTACAGAGATCTACAACTGGTCAAAGTGCAGAGAATAACTGACTGTGTGTTTGCCACCTCAAATGCTATATATGTATAATACAACCCTTATACCCAAGGCCCAGGAAAACACCACAGAAGAGAGGCATGGTGCAAAGGTTTTTAAGAGCCAGAAGGCCAGATGTCTGCTCTGAGACAGTGTCAATTTACACAACAGGGACAGTGCACCTATGAAATCTCAACAATACGGTCACCTAGACATGGCCTGTGTAATGAAACATCACTTGACATACCAAAATGAATGGGGGAAATCTTAAAAGGCCTCACTGATAGATGAAGAGCTACTGGCAATTAATGGCTATTAAGAGAGGGAGAATCAGTCTTCTCTATCAACGAGCCTCCTGATAGGGTATCTAATCTCAAGTGCTCAACCCTAAACACACCTATATACGAGCAACACTAAAAGCATTGCAGGTCGTCTATACACACACACACACACACACACACACACACACACACACACGTATATGTATGTGTATATATGTGTGAATGCATGTAATTAAAGAAGAACAGGTCATGAATTAGAGAGGGAGTTGGGGAGACACAAGAGAAGTTGGAGCAGGTAGAAGCTGGGGTGGAAATAATGCAAGTATAGTAATCATGCATGAAAAAGGACAAAATACACATTAAAAAAGACAAAATCAAAATAAACAAATGTTTTCCAAAAGTGTTACTGTAGCCAGGCATGGTGGCACACAAAATTAACTGAACACTCAGGAGGTAGAGGCAGGAGGATCTCTGTGAGTTTGAGAGCAACCTTGTCTACACAGCTAGTTCCTGGCCAAGCTTGTTTACTTGCTTCAAACAAACAAATAAATAAGAGAAATAAAGGAACAAAAGGTAGTATTGCTACTGAAAAACAACAGATATAAATTGTTGAATGTCCTTGGACAAGAGTGATCCACTGAGTTTTCCTTCTGTGTGAGCACCCGTTGCAATCTTGCTAATTTTAGGCGGAACTGATAAGAGGGCTTTTTGAAGACTCGCTCTCAAATGACTGTTGTGTGAATGAACTTTTTGCCATTGAAAGAATGAGGAGGCTGTGATGTCTCTCTTTGATTCTAAGCCTTAGGGGAAAAACCTTCTGTATCAAAAACACATGGCTTAAAATTTCTGCATCCGAGCCTGCAACATTGATGGAGTTTTATGTAAAGAGATAAAAATCTTTGCATGGACTGTCACAAGCTGTTTGGGTGAACAGAGCTGCTGTTGCAGAACCACTGTTGATATTCCTAAATGGGCTGCAATGAGAACCACCTGTAAGCCAGGCAGGTTTGCATCGTGAAAACCATCAAGAGATCCAGGTCAAAACATTGAAAATAAGGGACGGGTGGGGTGGGGTGGTGGATATAAGAATATAAGAACAAATGTGAGTGAGTTCAATAAAGAAGAAACATGGACAAGGAGTTCAGAGACTGGTGTAGGTTCTTTTAGAAACAAGAGGTTTTGGGAGAAGAAGGATATCATTTGCCTGGTAGTGCTCAGGAACCTCAATATTCCTTAATGCACTCATATTTCACACTATCTACCCTAATTACGGCAGACCTACAGTGGTCAGGAGACAAGGCTGCCCGAGAAAACACATACATTATTACAAAAACAAAACAAAATTATTTTGAGATGAAGACTTTCTAGAAAGGATACTTTTTAGTATCCATTGGTGTCTTGTTAGCAAGAGATAAGGCAAGAAAGCAGTAAAAATTTATCAACAATTTACACTTTCCTAGATGTAATCCAACACTTTCTCTCTCCTGGTGTTCCCGAGAAAGCAAGCTGAGGGAGGCTTGGCATCTAAAAACATTCATAAAGTATTTTGTCCTAGACAAATTTGACAAGGCATAATGGAATGAAAGAAAAATTGAATTAAACTGATTAAATCGAATATTCCTCTTCTGAGCATTTGGTTCTTAAAGATTCTGACCCCATTCTTGTCAGATTCAGATGAATAAACGTGCTGGGTATTTATGAGATAGCTAAAGTATTATGGATGTTTGGATTATGATGCGTGTTCGGAGAATTTTCTTACGCCCAAAGAATTCTGGTGTAGAAAAGAGAAATGCATGTTAATAATTAACCATAACACTTTAAAAATATGATGGCTGGTAGGGATGGGAGTATTGTACAAAGGTCAAGTGCATGAACTCTGTAATCAGTGGCTCAGCTCTGCCACTTATTAGCTGGGCCATCTCTGCAAATTCTTTGACTTCAATAAGACTTGCTTGCTTTCTCCCCTTTGGCAAAGGAGAGCTAAGACATGTGGCTGGCCCTCTGAGCACAGAGCCTGGTGGACCATCCAGCAATTGTTATTAGCCATTACAAACTAGGTGCAATGATTGGGAACATTCTGGAAAAGGTTTTGGCATGTTATTTGGTCAGAGTCTCAACTTTACAGAGTGATGAGAACACTGAATGACAACAAAGCGAAGCAAATGAAAGCTGTCTTGGACTTTGATGTTGAAAGACCTGGTTCAGCTTCCTACTTCTGGCTGATCCTCATCGGCGTCCCACAGCAGCTCACATACTGGTTACGTTACCAATCATGGATGAGCTTCAGTTTCTGGATCAGAAAGTTGAAATAGGGAACATGTTTGTCTCTCAGTGTTGCAACTGTGGAGAAGTGCCAAGGAAAGCCTACTGTGACCTGTAAATGAATATTGCTCTTGTAATGACTATTTTGAGGTACATAGAAAACAACAAGAAAGGACAATTCAGCACAGAGATTAACATGACTTAAAGGCATGGAAGATTAATGGTGTACTGATGCTCAGGAATGACAAGAAGGTAGGTCTGACTTAAACATTTATCAGTTTGGAAGGACATGCTTCCTTGTAGAATGTCTGTTTACTTTATGCAGAGTGTGAAGCCTGAGTTATAGGATTTGGGCTCTATTTCCTTTCAGCTTGAACTGTGAGTTAGCAATTGTTTTTGGAGCGTCCTAATTGTTCTCTAGACATGACTCCTGTCCTTCGAGTAAGTATCTTGGTAGTGGGGCCTACAGCATTTGGAAAATCAGTAAAAGTGATTCTTGTGTCCACCTAGGATAAGGAACAATTTTTGCAATTTCTCTGTCTGCCGTTGATTCAGTGAGGGGGCTTTTTAAATATTAAGAATAGCAACACAATATACTGACCAATCATTGATATACAAGGACTTACAATCAGAGAAGTAAGGCAGTAGGCCTCACAGAGTAAGTGGAAATAGTAATACACTTTGGTCTAGTGTTTGATCACAGGTGAGACATGAGAGTTAGTCAGCCTAACATGTTTGCTGGACATGTGACTGAGCAACTGTCCCAGCTTCTGAGGGGTCTTCTACGACACATTCTGGTCCAGCTCAGCCTCCTGACTGCATCTGAGACTCTTCTATTCAAGCCCCAGAGGGAAGGTCAACATCTCTAGCCATCAGAGGAAGGCCAGTCAATCCACACTGAGGGTCCAGATGTAACGGTTCAGTTGTAATGGCCCTGGCTTCTCTCGCCCATGATCTGGATTCAGTTTCCAGTACCCACATAGCAGATCACAACCACCTGTAACTGCAGTTCCAGATGTCCTCTGACTCTTTTGACATCCTCAGGAACCAGGCATACATTTGCCGCGCATACATACCCACAGACAAAACACTGATATGTGCAAAATAAAGATGAAGAAATCATAAATTTGAAAGAAACTACATTGAGATTCCCTCTTACTCAGTCATAGCTATGGACAAAATAACAAAAATAACAAATGCTATTAAAGATGTGGAGATGAAGGGCCCCTATGTGCTGTTAGTGGCATTGTAAATTCACAGACTATTGAAATCAGTATAAAGCTCCCCCACCCCCTGCCCAAATCCTAAAACTAGAAGTACTATACAATCCAGCTGTACTCTCTTGGGTATATACCTGAATGAATAAAAAAGTCAGCTTACAATAGAGATAATGAACATCCCTGCTTATTGCTATTAACAATACACAAGTCATAGAGTCAGCCTGAGTGCCTATAAATGGATGAAGACACAGAAGGAAATGTGGTGTGTACACAAAGGAGTGTAACTCAGCAACAAAGATTAACAAAACCATTGGCAGAAAAATGGATGGAGGCGGAAAACTCCATGTTAAGTGAAATAAGCCAGAATGGAAAAGGCAAATGTAATTCATTTTCCCTCAGCTATAGACTATGTATATTGTCTGAAACTACAAGAAGGGTTCTTGGGGAGAGAAGAAAAAGGGTCAGGTTGGAATGAAGGTTAAAAAAGGTTAAGAAAGAGATGATTGTGTTCCCAGCATGTTAGGCTCAAATCTTCCTTTGGCCTCAGCCTCCCAAACATTTGGTTCTGTGGGAATTGCTGCCTCAGGAGTGTGTACGAAGATTTTTACTGCTTAGGGACTGGAGAAATGACTCAGCGGTTGAGAGTGAATGGTTGCTCATGCAGAGAACCCACGTTTGTTACCCAGCACCTATAACTCACAACTGCCTACAACTCCAGTTCCACGGTGTCTTCCACACCCTGTTCAGGACTGACTCTCACAGGCACCTGCAGTCGCGTGTGTAAATACACCTCTCCATCCACAACTAAAAACAATAGAATAACTAAAAAAGAGTGACACTGCATGGACTTCCCATCTCACCCTCGTAGATAGCACTGAGACCCAACTTGTGTTCAGAGATTTCTGTGTGCAGTCTTCCTAATGTGTTAAATGTGAGCAAGTTTGTGTGTGTGTGTGTGTCTAAATTCAGGAAATAACTGCTGCTTTTCCAGAAGGACCATCATGGCATCAGTCTTCATTTATTATTTTATTTTAAGTCATGAGCCATAAAGAAACAATAAAGATGGGAGGAGAAAAACCTAGCGGAAATCTTACCAACTTTGTGTTATAAGTATTCGGATGTCTTTAATCGCAGAGGGCTTTAATCGCATTTAAACTTTTAAAGGGAAAAATCAGTGATTAAAATGAAAATGGCTGCTCAGTCTGTTACCCAACTGTGGAGGAAGCAGCACCCGGAAGACAGACAACTGCCGAAGCAGTCAGCAAACACAACGCACAGAGTTGGACAAAGCAAACCTGTGTGTGCACCTTGTTTGTGTCTCTTGTTAAAAGGTAACGCCACCATTCAGGTAGACGAGATATAGAGAGCAAGTTCTGGTCAGAAGGAAACCAAGCCCTCCATTGGAGAAGGATTCTGTGTCTGTTACCATTAGGAACTTGGCTTAGATAGCCCCGCTACATGGGTGGCATTCGCTCTGATCAGTGAAAGATGAGCATTCTCTTGAGAGAGAGAGAGAGAGAGATACAGACAGACAGACAGAAAGAGAATGTTCTGGCATTGCTACATGATGCCTACAGATTACCCCTCTGGGTTTAAATGGGATAAAGAGGCTATTTTCCCATCTAAAAGCTGCTTCTGATTATTCTAGGTTTCTGCTGCAATCTTACTAACACAATACATTGGGTAATAAGATACGCATAGAACAGACATATGTTATATAATACTCTATGTTGTTTATATTTTTATTCCTTTTCAATAAATCAAATCTTACTTTTAATTTCACAGAGTGATGTCATTTTGACTTATTTATACATATTCCCTTATGGAGAAATAATTTCACCCTGGATATTCGTTTACTGTCTTGTAACACCTCTCCCCTTTTCTTTCCATTCTTTGTTTTTTCTGTTGCAACTATTCAACTGCAGCCAACATGAAGTAGAAATATGCAATAAATCTGGTTTGTAAGGATATTCTAAAAAAGTATGTACTCTGTATTTTCTTAGCAATATCTTAATAACAAAATGCAAATTAAGCACTGGAAAAAATAAAAATACTGGAAGAATAAAATTATTTAATTAGAATCCCTCAAACCCATATATATATATAATAATTTAAATAGAAATTTATTTAGATTAATTGACTCATTTATTCTTCTGTTTTATGTAAATAGCATAGTTGTCATCTAAATCACTTCATGGTTTCCTGTACTATAGGTAGGCACCAGAATTAAGGGCCATAATTAGTCCAGCCTCTAGCCGGTCTGACCCCTGTATAACCCAAAGAATAGAAGCAGGCTGAAGATACATGATAAGTTAGCACAGGAAGCAAGAAAAAAATATTCTTTGGCCACTTTAGTATCTGGTGATTCTCATGGACCAGTTTCATACACAGAACATTTCCCTGGAAAATTTGTTTATTGCAAAACACTATCTCAAAGCAGGTACAGAATTTGACTAGTTCTTTTGTGATGATGGAGAAAACAGACTGTAAGAGAAAGCAGGTTTTGATGTTTAAGTAGTCATAGTGGGTTGGACATGGTATTGAAAAATAAGACCCCGAATTCCACGGATCAAGTTAGTGAAGGAGAAAGATGTTCATGGTTTGGTTTGCAGTAGTCATTTGATGTTCTCATTTATAACTTGGCATGTTTTGAGTGGAGGAGGGCTTAGTGGTGCCTTGCAAAATGGAGTAGCACCTGAGTGGGCTTGGATCCTGCCAAATCCTATGGGATTTGCTTGGGCAAAGTGCTCATGGGAAGAAGAAACACACAATTCACTAGACTTTTCTGTGGCACAAGGAATAGAAGGTTCCCTCCTGCAGTTTCCATATAGTTTGAGTATTTTGTTTTAATGTAATAGTAGGAACTATTTAGAATTACAAAAAAAAAAAAAAATTCCTTGTAACAGCTCAATATTCCTTCCAGGCTAAGAAAGTAGATACTTTGTTAGAAGGAAAATAGTGTTCTTGAATTCTGCTTTTAATTTCCTTTAATTTTAATTTTAATTCTAATTTCCTTTAATTTTATTTCACTTTTAATTGTAATGGAGAAGCATTAAGAGAAAGATAACAAACAAACAAACAAATCCCCCACAAAACAGAAGACAAAAACAAAACCAACAAAGCCCAAACCAACCAATTCAGCAATCACAACACTACAGTCCAGAAAACCCCCAAGTTTTGACTGTTAGAAAGCAAACTGTTTTCAATCTTCAGAATTCTAGGATAATCTTCACAAGCCATAAAAGTTACAAAGGAGTTTTCATGGCCTAGTTGATTCATTTATTGGCTTTATGTAACTGTGTGTGTTTCACTTGTGTAAGGAGGGAAATGGCATTAATAAACGAGTTTTTAAAACATTTTTATTTATTTATTAAAATTTATTCACTTTGTATCCCAGTTGTAGCCCCCTCCCTCTTCCCTTCCTAATCTTGCCCTCCCATGCCCCTTCCCCAGTCCACTGATAGGGGAGGACCTCCTCCCCTTCCATCTGACCCTAGCCTATCAGGTCTCATCAGGACTGTCTGCATTGCCTTCCTCTGTGGCCTGGTCAGGCTGCTCCTCTCCCCTCAGGAGGAGGTGATCAAAGCCCAGCCACTAAGTTCATGTCAGAGACAGACGCTGTTCCCCTTACTAGGGAGCCCATTTGGAAACTGAGCTGCCATTGTGCAGGGGTTCTAGGTTAAATAAACAAGTTTTGATGTGTTAAATTTCTTATACTTCATCTTCACAAATATCAGGGGCAAGAGGAAAAGCAACTCAAGTTTGTCTGCCTCACCTGGCAACCTTAACCTTAGTTCAGTTGACATGAAAGAGGGAGCTCAATGTAGCTATGAAGTCATTGGTTAGAAAGTATACAGCAAGGACTTGAGAAAATTGATAGAGGCTGCCTTTAACTGTGGAGGGGTCCCACGCTGCTTGCCATGGCCCTTAGTGTGGAAACAGCAGGGCCAGGCTTCTTCTTTCCCCTACCATCATCTACAATGGCCTCTTCTCCTTTCCTTTCTTCCTTTCCTTTCCTTTCCTTCCTTCCTT